ATATTAGAGTCCAAAAATAAGTGCCTGAGCTGGGCGATGGTGGCACACGCCTTTAATCCCAGCACTCGGGAGGCAGAGGTAGGCGGATCTCTGTGAGTTCGAGACCAGCCTGGTCTAGAGAGCTAGTTCCAGGACAGGCTCCAAAGCCATAGAGAAACCCTGTCTCGAAAAAACAAAAAAAAAAAATAAGTGCCTGGTTATTAATAAGCAACACAGCATCCTTTCTTCTCTATTATTATGAAAATACAGATTTATAAAGCTTTTGGGGTTTGTGTGCAGTGTGCGTGTGCACATGAGCAAATGTGCAGGCGTGTGTAGAGGGGTGCATGTTCACAGATGCCAGGGGTTAACGGCAGGTGTTTTCTCCCAACACTTCCCACTTTGTATTTTAAGGCAGGGTGTCTCCTGCTGAATCTGAGCTCACAATTCAGCTAGTTAGGCCAGGCATCTAGCTCTGGAATCTGGAACTCTGCCTCCCACAGGCTCAGCTTGGTATTGGTACTGGGGATCTATGCCCTGTTGCTTGGGCTTATTGGGCAAGAATTTCACCCACCGCACCAGCCCTCAGCCTGCAATATTTTTGATTTCTTATACTTATTATTTCCGGAAGGATGTTCAGGGAAACCCGATGGTCTTCCATGTGAAATGTTAGGTAGCATTTGTTCCCACCCTCTTCAGTGCTATCAGAATTGAAGTGTTGACTGCTGAGATAGTTTTCAAAACCCCTGATATCAAAACAAAACAAGGCACCAGGATTTACTATGTCTGAAACAACTCCCACGCTGCCTTCTTCCACAGCCACGTCTTCCTCTTTTTCAGACACTAGTTTTCCCTTCAGATGATGGTCAAACACAATTTCAGTAGACTTTTCATCGCAAATTCCCGGTTTGTAGTGACAAAACCCTTTGTGGGTATCCACAGATATCTGACACGGTTCAGCAGTCTACCCAAGAGAATAGATAGAATGACAGTGGGTCTGACGCATTTACACACATGATTGTGCGCTCGGTGAGAGGGTAACCCTGATCCAGTTGTCTGTGTCTCTTGCAGGCTGCCCTGGACACCGTCCTCCTGCCTCAGCAGAGCACTGCCTCCAGGGGGCGCCGCAGAGCGAGAAGGCGAGCGGAGCGGAAGGCGCTGTGCCGTGCACCCCTCCCACTGCTCCCTATCCCTGCCTTGGAGGGAGCTCTGCAAACAGGCCAGATCTGTGCGCTGTCACACAAGAAAAGTGTCAGCACGACGGGAGGAGCATTTCTTCCCACCAGGCCCTGAGAGTGGAACTCACCTTCAGCCCCGGAAGATCGTCCCCGGCAAACAAGTCGCCACTTCCGGAAGCCTCTAATTCCCTCTCCCCACCCCCCAACCCCCACCCCCCAGGTAGAGCACCTTCCATGGGTGGAGTCGTCCTCACAGTGGAGCCAGGGTTGATGATGGCAGGAAGAGAACCAGGTGGACTATGAGATGAGGTTCTGAGTGGTGCCTGCGTTCTTAGTCGTTCTTGTGGTTCTCATTAGAGGCCCTCAGGTTCTTCTTATGAAGAATAGTATTCACCAAGGGAAGATTCACTGTCCTTTTCCAGAACCTTCTGGACTCTGTCTAGTGGGAGCTTTCTTGAGGAGGAAGGGAGGCAGCCACGTGGGGGAGTGGAGGTATTGTTTTACACTGAAAGAACCCCTCAGGTGCTTGGAGTCTGGGCACCCAAAGGAATGATATCTGGCAGATGGATATGTTCCACTTTGCAGAATTTAGCAATTTAAAATATGTTCATCACACCATTGACACTTATTCAGGCTTTCAGTGGGCAACTGCTTTCAGTTCAGAAAAAGCTGATTCAGTAATCACCCATTTATTAGAATTCATGGCTATCATGGGTATACCTACACAAATAAAGACATAACGGTCCTGCTTATGTCTCTAGGAAAATGAAACGGTTTGTTGATTATTACAATTTCAAGCATGTTACAAGTATACCATACAATCCTACAGGTCAAGCAGTCATAGAAAGATCAAATCGAACTATAAAGGATATGTTGAACAAACAGAAAGGGGTGGAAAACACCCCCAGAAATAGGTTACATAATGCTTTGTTAACCTTGAATTTTCTCAACGCTAATGAGAAGGGAACAACGGCTGCAGAAAGACATTGGATAATGGAAAAGTCTACTGAACTAAATCAACCAGTTTATTTCAAGGATGTGCTGACCTCACAATGGAAGCCAGGAGATGTGCTGCGTTGGGGAAGGGGTTTTGCTCTTATCTCCACAGGTGAGGAAAAATTGTGGATACCGTCAAAATTAATAAAGGTTTGGTTTGAAGAAGAGAAGCCACTTGGAAAAGATAAATAACAATTCATTCACAAGGATGGTGAGCATACTGATGGTAAGAAATACAGATAGGTTGGGGGCAGGGTTCTTTTCTTATCTCCACAGGAAAATCTCATCTTCAAAGAAATTAAGGGACCCTGAATATTTAATTACTGATGGATGGACACATTTTGTAAGTATTAATTTTTTATATATATATGTCTTATTAAACATTTCTTTATAAATATGTAGAGCTGGTTTTGAAGTTGGACTCTGGCTCAGTCCCTCTCCAATTCCAAGCCTGTTAGTAAGAGAAAAACCCAGAGTTTCTGGAGTTTCTGTCTCATGTCAAGAGCCATGATGGGTCAGAAAGAAATATGAGTTTAGAAAACATCTTTGCTTTTCTTCATATCTATCATACTTTTAATTGAATATATATATCATGCCTTTCATTGAATATATATATGTATGTCTATATATGTCTATATGATTAATGTTTAAGTTTTTCACAATGAACAATGAGTTTTTCTTGAAGTGACATTTGAAGTTCCCAGGAAGAAGATGGGGCCCCACAAAAAAACTCTACCTGGTTGATATGATGTCATGATACTGATAGCGCTACTACAAGACCTGTTTTGGGTACCAGCTGCACAAGACAATCCCAACTTGGTTAGCTGAAATGGTGCACATCTTGTACAACAATCTGCCCAGACCTCCACAAAATACTCAGAGACTATTTGCAATTTTAAAAGACATTGATCTTGAAAGTTAACCATCATTTTACTTTCACAGGATCCCCTAGAAAGAACGTCGCCCCCATGACAGCTGGAAGTAATTCTAGAGGACAACGTCTCCTCTCCCAGTAAAGTTTGCCCCTGGGTTTAGGGACATCATTTAGGGGTTGGGAGGTTGGGGGAGGAATTTTATGAGCTCAGGGATCATTTTGAAAAAAAAAAGAGGGATGATGGGATAATAGATTTGTAATTGTGAGTTACTGTTTTTAGACAAATATATTGGTATCGATTCTTGTATATTGATACAATGTTAAATTATATTGACTATTGTATGCATGCATGTTTCTACCTCTGTTTAAAACATTTTTTATGTATTGACATATATTGTATTGATATATATATTGTATATATTTACCATATTGCAATGTACATTTCTACCTCTGATTAAGATACTTATATAATGTTTGTGTATTGATATATATTTACCATATTGCAATGTATATTTGTACAGTGTTTATATTTGGAGGTCATTATCCTCATTTGTTACACAGTTGTTTATTGTCTTAGTCTTTAAGTTAGATAGATATTGAGAATTATATAGATCAATAGTCATCTAAGTTTGTCATTTATAATTAGACTAATCAGGTTCTTTAGATATATAGAGATTATACTCAGTATAGATAGATAATCTTCAACCTCTTCAAAGAGCTGTAGAAAATGGCTTTTAATCTAACTCAGAGTTTTGTGATAGTGAGACATAATTACTCCTGGCAACCCCACTCTATTCCAGAGAGAATGTTGAGCACCAAAGATACTCCACCTGGAGCCTTTCTTTTTGGCAGAACTGGCCTTTGGGCAAAGAAATGCCCATACCTCAACCACTAACAGAGATACAGAGCATTCATTAATGGATAAAACAGGACTGTCATATCCTGCCAAGACAGGGTAAGATAGTTTTGAAAAGTTCCTTGCCTTTAATAATGGTATGTCAGTTATGTTAGGCCTTAGCCAAAGTTGGTTGACTCAACATTGCAAACGAGACTTTGGGTGATTGCCCAGGTACTCAGTTGTCTCTGTCAATTATTGCACATTTTGGATATATCTCGTTTGTTAAGTAATATTTATTCCCTTCTCGGATATTGACAGAGTTGAAGATTATATAATTGTAGTTACTCTCTACATTATTTAGACTCCTTGAGATAGAATGTTTAGCAAAACTTTTGTTCTCAATATTGTTTGTTATATTTATTATTTGTTATTATTGTATATAGTTGTATTTGGTTTAGTTATGTCTTATTTAGACAAAAAGGGGAGATGTAGAGATAAGTCCCGCCCCTTAGGGGGCGTGTTCCCCTCGGGCTAATGTTTACCTATAAATCTGGAGAGCCTGCTTGTAGTGCTCACTTCTGCTTTCCTGGTCTCCACAGGAACGGTGCTTCTGTAAGTCTATTTCCCCATTAAAGCTGTATATATTTTTACAATCTGTCTGCATTCATTTATGCCATTACAAACCACAATGGTGAGGAACTCTGGGCCAGCCAGAGACAGCTTCCTCTCCAGGTGAAGCTCATGCAGATCTGGAGATGAGGAAATGAGGATCCCCTCCCGTGTCACAGTTCAGCCCTTGACTTCTGGTTTATGATTGGCCAGGAGTCAGCTAATGAAGTGTCAGACCAGATCTGCTCCCTAAGCCTCATCAGCTCTGGTACATTCTCCTGGGTGTTGTTGGAAGCTGAGCACATCTTGGACACTCTTGCAACTGTGTTAGCAGGTGAGAGGACAGAGGGCTGGGACTCTGGGATCTCTATGGGTCTTGAGCCCCACACCCTTGTTGAGGACCCATGAGTGGAATGTATTTGTTTTGACGCTTTGCTTTTCTGTAGACTGAGTCTTTCCAATTGCTGGAAAAAGGATCTGCTGATACTTGTGCCTGGGAACACAGGACTGTCCAGTGTCAGGACCCTGAAGAGGAAACAGAGCCCTCAGAACAACATAGTTTTCCAGCGTACCCCAATATCCAAGGTGAAATAACTTGTAATCAAATAAGGAGTGTGACTGGGAAGGTCTGCACATAGCTTACTGTAGTAAATCTTCAGAGCAACCCAGAGACCAGGTGATGATTTACCATGGTCTACAGATGAAGACACACAGGCTCACAGAGGTCAAGGGACATGTCCCAGGGTCACATGGCAGGAAGAGGAAGAAGCAGGGGCTGCTAGGTGACACTGACCTGATCTTTCTTCAGGTAGCAGTGTCCTTCTTCATTGTAGGTGTTGAGAGAGGCACAGCCATCTGTAGAGTCTCCCTGGTTTCTGGGAGGCTGGGAAGGTTTGGGGACTGACATGGCTTCCTCTGTCTCCTGCAGGGCTCAGGGAAGCTGTGCAAGAAGGTCTCGCTGTTCCTGTGATCACTGATATTTGAGAGCCACAGATCTCCCATGGCTCCTTATCACATCCGCCAGTACCAGGAGAGGGACCACAAAAGGGCCCTGGAATTGTTCTCCAGGGGCATGAACGAGCATGCCCCTGCTTATTTCAGACATGCTTTGACACTGCCCCGGACTCTCCTGACCTTACTTGGGATGCTCCTGACCATAGTCCTGGTTTATGGCTCCTGGCTCCTGGCCACAGTGTGCTGCCTCTTTGTACTCCTTTGCCTGTGGCTCTTTGTCTGGCATTCTTGCACAAAGTATGTGTCTACATGTTTGCAAGCAGACATGGCTGACATCACTAAGTCATACCTGAATGCACGTGGCTCCTTCTGGGTGGCTGAGTCTGGGGACCAGGTAGTGGGCATCGTGGGCTGTCTGCCAGTCAAGAATCCCCCATTAGGAAGGAAGCAGCTGCAGCTCGTTCGCCTGTCTGTGTCCTCACAGCATCGTGGACAGGGGATAGCCAAAGCACTGGTCAGAACTGTCCTCCAGTTTGCACGGGACCAGGGCTACAGTGATGTTGTCCTTCAGACCAGCATTGTGCAGTATAGTGCTTTGGCTCTCTACCAGGCCATGGGCTTCCGGAAGACAGATGAGTACTTTGCTAGAACATTCTCAAGGTTAATGTCTTTTTCTATCCTCTGTTTCACCTATTCTCTCCCTTTTGATTGGGAACCACAGATGTGATCCTTCTCCTTTGTCTGTGAGGCTCCAGTTCACTGTGCTGCAGGAACCAGCAAACCCTGGTAGTTTACAGCTGCCAATCACACGAGCTCGTTTTTCATTCCTCTCAGATCCAGTCTTGCTGGAGGTGAGTTGTAGGTTTTGGCTCCCTGTTCCTTTCTGTCCTTTGAAGTGTCACCTTTTCCTTCCTGGTGCCGTGATGATACAGCACCGAAGCCAACCCGAGCCCATACTGCACACACTTTATATTGAAACATTAGCTCTCAATTTCAGCTAGGTGGTCTCAAGTTCCAGCAGCCCAGTCAGGATTCAGCCTCTGCAGAGAGGCGAAACTGAACCCAGAGGGAGCAGAGTACTTCCTGGGACACTGAACTTGTCACTTAGGGGAAAATCTAAGACCTGCACAGAAGTGGAGCCTCCCCGAGAGGTGTGGCACAGTCAGGGTTCAGGGTGGCAGTTGTTCTGTGAGAACTGGAGCAGCGGAGCACCTAACTTACCGCTAAGCCACCTTTTGCCCAGGGGAGGAGGGGTCCTCTAATGCAGCGAGAGCAATCTTGAATGGCCTCTCCTGGGTGTGTTGATCCCTTATGGATGCAGGGGAAGGGTAAGGAGTCAGGAAGTGTCATGAATATGTCACCATAGAGAAGAATCCCAGAACCAAGTGGCCCTTGGTTGATTTGCACAGCAGTGGCCTCCAGTGATCCTGGTTATCCTCTGTAAAAAGATTTCAGAAGCTCAACCCTAAGTGTCTTACAGAGAAGAGAAACCCCCAGAAAGACAGATAAGATGACAGTCCAGGAGCTGTAACAAATGTACTCTCACAATAGTGAGGTTGCTGGGTGAAATTCCATGCTGGATGAGGGAGCCTCCCTGCACTGTTGTAAGGAGAAGCGCTGAGGTCCAACATAAATGCTGTTGCCTCTGCCTTTGGTCGAATGCCTGACCTAGGGACTCCTTCCTAAAGACATCGCATGCCTCTGTCTCAGACTTAAAGGAGTCCAACAGGGAGTGAGCTGAAGCGTCTCTGCTGGCTGAATTTCTAGTGCCAAGAGGACAAGGCAGGCTGCTGAGGGGGAACTGTTGCAGACAGTCTGGCTTGGTTCTGGAATCCACGGGCCGTACTATTCCATGCCAGGAAGATGTACACAGTGTGGCAATGCTGCCCTTATGAGTGCAGACAGCTGCTTTCTGATTAAACGTAAGGCCTGTTCTACAGGGTGGACTCCTCCTGAGTACTCTAAGCCAAGATCAAGTCCTGTGGCTGTGGAGGTGATAGGCCCAGTAAGGAGACTTCCTCTATTGTTTATTTGTTATTAGGCAAGTATAACGTGTCAACTTGCCTTCAAGCGTCTGTGTTTATGCCCATAGGTGGCTGCTGTGCCAGCCTCAGAAGAAGGAGACTTCTTACAGTGGGTGGTGGTTTTTTCAGAAACTCATAATTGTCAAATTGCTGAGAATACTTTCCTTTGATATAGCTCAGTATTGTGTCAGAAATGGAAAAAATTGTGTATATATCATCTATTCTAAGCCTTAGGAGAGCTGTTGGTGCGGGCACAGAAACATTTAAGATCTGGAGTGGGCAGAGTGTTTGGTCTGAATTGGAACATTCTCCAGTGGAGGCCTGACAGAGATGCAACAGACTCAGGAAAGGGCTCTTGTGAACTCTCCCTAAAGTCACCTAGGCAGTAAACATTTCCTAGCAGAGAAAAGACTCTTAGGAACCCCACTGTTGTGGATATTGTATGTTGTTACCCGTGCAATGGTTGACTTTGAATTACTGCAGCTGCCTGGCTCACCCCTGCTCCTGTAAATAATCCTTCTCCCATGTTCCTGCAAGTACCTCCAATAAACTGGTTCATCAAACTTGGCTTGGGCCAAATCGTTCCCAATTTTGGTCTCTCCTGGTGCCCTGTCCAGTGTGAGTAGATGTTTGTTGTCATTCCCAGGGGAAATCAGACAAAAACACTAACATTGGTACAAAAAGGATGGGTTTTCTTTCGTGTTGTACCCCCTTGGGTAAGCCATACTTGATCCAAATGACAGGAGCAAAGAGGCCAAGCAGATCCAGGATGGAAAGACTGCCAGAGTAGGAAATCAGAGAGTCCTGGCACCTGGGAAAGCTCTGTGACTCTCCAGCTCATTTCTGGGGATCTCTCCTGCTTAGGGACTCTATTCCTGGAAAAACACCATCAGAATTGCACCTTGACCTCCCTTCCCCAGCTCCTGCCTCTCCTCTAGGGACATGACAGCAGCTCCAGGGCGGGCAGCTTCCAAACAAGCTACACTGCTGACCACTGACAGTCTCCTCTTCTCCCACTCCCCTGCCATGATCATTATGGGTTCAGCAACTGCACTTCAGCTCAGACAAAAGGATGCCTGTGAGCAGAGAAGAATCCTCCTTTAGGTATCCTGGCTTCCATGGAGAGTTATTTCTTTGTTCCACGACCATCAGCTGCTGCATTGTCTGCTGATTAGAAGAGGGGACATGGAGCTCCTTATTCCCCAAGGCTAATACCAGCCCTTACATGCCCACCTGAACAGTGCCTTTTGCGGGGCCAAAGAGCCCTTTCCAGGAGAAGGGAAAGGAATATTTGCAATTCTTTTGATTGGAAAGAACCTCTCAGTATAGTTACTGATTCACCATATGCAGAAAGACTTGTCTTGAATAGTGAAACCGTTGAATTTATAATAGATTTTACAGCTTTGAATTCATTATTCATACAGGTTCAAGATATCAGGAATAGGCCTTGTCCCATATATATAACACACATTTGATCCAATATGGGTCTGCGAGGTCCTCTAGCACAAGGTAAGGCAGAAATTGATTGATTATTAATTGGAAGTATGTTGAAGACCTCAGAATTTCATGGAAAACATCCTGTCAGTAGCAAAGGTTTACAAAAAGAGTTTTCTAGTACATGGCAACAAGCTAAGCAGATTACAAAGAGATGACCTACTTGTTTTTTTCTATAATAAAAACCCACTACCTGCAGCGAGTAACCCAAAGGGTACTCAAATCTGGAAGATGGATGTATTCTACTTTGCAGATTTTGGAAAATTGAAATATGTACACCAAACCATTGATACTTATTCAGGTTTTCAATGGGCAAGTGCCTTGAGCTCAGAAAAGACCAATTCAGTAATCATGCATTTATTACACGTTATGGCCATCATGGGTATACCTGCACAAATAATGACAGATAATGGTCCGTCATGTGTCTCTAAGTAAATGAAACAGTTTTTTTCTTATTATAATATAAAGCATATTACAGGTATACATACCAAAGTATCCTACATGTCAGACAGTTACAGAAATATCAAACCAAACTATAAAGGACATATTATACAGACAGAAAGGGATGGAAAATACCCCCACAAATAGATTGCTTAATGCTTTATTAACCTTGAGTTTTCTTGACGCTAATGAGAAAGGAACAACAGCAGCAGACAGACATTGGATTATAGAAAAACTTCTGAATTAAATCAGCCCATTTATTTAAGGATGTGCTGACCTCACAATGGAAGCTAGGAGATGTGCTGTGTTTGGGAAGGGGTTTTGCTCTTGTTTCCAAAGGAGAAAAAAAGTTATGGACACCATCAAAATTAATAAAGATTCTCTTTGAAAAAAGAAACCTCTTGATAAAGAGATATGACAGTTCATCCACAAAGGTGACAACCAATCAGGTGGTAGGGAAACCTTATAAGAGTCGGGGCAGGATTCTGTTCTTGTCTTTGCAGGAAAATACTCATCTTCAAAAAGTCAAGAGACCCTGGACATCTAGAAGCCTAAAGAGGAAAAGATAATTATCCAGATAAGATCACCAAACAAAGAGAATTGTGACTTATGAGGATAGGTCATCTGAAGGTAAGAATTTTTTATATATACTACCTACTATAATAATAGTTATGACTCACTTAAAAGTCAAAGCTGGTTTTGGAGTTGAACAATTGATGGAGGAAGGTCACTGGTTAAAAAATAAAGAAACTGCCTTGGCCCATTTTATTGGTTAGAACATAGGTGGGTGGAGTAAACAGAACAGAATGCTGGGAGGAAGAGGAAGAGAAAGTGAGCTCAGAGACGCCATGCTCCCCTCTCCTGGGCAGATGTGATAGCTCTGCTCTCTGAGGCAGATGGCGATGGAGCAAGCCGCCAGGTCAGACATGCTGAATCTTTCCCGGTAGGACTGTTGCTACACAGATTATTAGAAATGGGTTAGGCAAAATATGAGAATTAGCCTGTAAGAGGCTAGAGCTAGTGGGCCAAGCAGTGTTTAAAATAATACAGTTTCCATGTAATTATTTCGGGGCATAAGCTAGCAGGTGGCCGGGGTGCTGGGGACGCAGCTCCGCCACTCATATTACAACAAACAATGGCTCAGTTCTTGTCTAAATTCAAGCATGTTGTTAAAAGAAAATTTCAGAGTTTTTATCTCATGTCAGGAGCTATCTGGTATGGAACAGAAAGAAAAAGAATTAGAAAAAAATTATTTTTCTCCATACTTCTTTTTATCTCTATCATGCCTTTCATTGAATATATGTCTGTATAAATGATGTTACATTTTTCACAATGAGCAATACATTTTCCTGCAGCAATAGTTGAAGCTTCCAGGAAGAAGATGGGGGTCCCACATCATGATGCTGATAGCTCCATTATAAGATCTGTTTTGGGTACCAGCTGCTCAAGATTGTTCCAATTTGGTTAGCTGAAATGGTGCACCTTTTTACAATGTTCTGGCCAGAACTACAAATAGAATCCTCAGAAAAACTCTACCAAATACTCAAAGACTATTTGCAATTATATCAGACAGTAGCCTTGAAACTTAACCATCATTTTACTTTCACAGGATCCCATAGAAACAACATCACCCCCATGTCAGTTGGACGTAATTCTAGAAGATGATGACAACAAAGTTAGTCCTCATGTTTAGGGACATCAATTAGGGGTTGATTATAATTGGTATAGGGTTGGGGGTTGGGATGGAAATTATATAGGTTCAGGGATCGTTTTTTTTTAAAAAGAGGGAAATTGGATAGGATAATAGATTAGTGTGAGCTTACTAATAATAATAGTGACTAATAGAGTGAATACTTGTGAGCTATTATTTACAGGCAATTTACATTGGTATAGATTGTTGCAT